CAATTACTCAAGGCAAAGCTCTTATTTTGATATGTAATTTAATAACAAAAGCAAATTGTTAAGTAAAAGCTGCTTAAATGCAAAAGAATACTACTAAACTCGTATCTTTCGATGCAATGATTTGCGTCACAGATTCACATTCAATCACAGTGCAGAGCGTCAAAACTGACTGCAAAAACATGCTTGATGACATCTCCATGCTGTCAGGCAAGCTGATTGTTGAACAGTGTTATCAGTTGAAAAGCCGGGGCAGAACATCACTCATAACCGTCAAGGAAATCAAAACTAAAATAAGTTGCAAGTTCTGATATACTTTGTGAGCTTTGATTAAAATGCCATACCAGTCTGAATTCTTCTGCATCCATTGTTATCCAACAGCATGTTTTGCATTATATGTATTTTGTAACAAGTCTAATAGTCACCAATTGTGATTTGGCCAAAGAACAAGTAAAGAGATTGTTCTGAGAAGAATAATCTTGAAAATTGTCCTTGTAGGAAGTTTGACCTTCTTCCCTCCGGCCGCCACTTTGGGATGCCTAAGATTAGAGCCAGAACCGAACCCTTAACCATCTAGACAGGGATTGTTCAAAAAATATTGGTCAAAGATCCCCCTCTGTCTGTCTGCATAAGCCAGTGAATTATTATATAATATTTAATTCAGAAGACTAAAAGCTTTTGCCTATTGCCAAAAATTGGTTGCACAAACCTATAACAGCTGTCAGTCATGTTTTGACTGTTTTTATATCATCTCATATTGAATTTTTCTGAAAAAGTAAGTTTGCATAAACTTATCTAACATATCCTCCAGAGAAGATTTTTTTTCATTTGCTTTATACCAATAACTGATGCCGTGTGACAAAAAAAATAAAAAAATAAAAATGTATCCCTGTTTGTTTAAGTAAAAAAGTAAGCCTTTGATTATAGTTTTCATCCTGGTTGCTTAACAGGTTTTGTGACACTAACTTGTTTAAGCACATTTTTCCTCTGAACTTCAGATTAAAACAAAACTAAAAGTAGGAGGAGATTTCCTTGTACTTGAGCATAAATAATGCTTCGTCCACTTGTTGCACATCTTTTTTTTTTATTTTCAGGATCACGTTTGTCTCACATCTGCATCTGGATAATGGCGTCTGGTAAGGGCAAAACTTCTATTCTTGATTTTATGTTATATATATTGCTGAGTCTTTTATTTTTTTTAGCCTGGCTTTATTCTTTGGAGCAAATTATAAAAAGAGTCCTGAATTATGTTTATTCCAGAAAATATTGGGACGGCACCAAAAATAATTTTCATAAAACTTCCAAAGAAATACATGGCTGGTTTATCCTTATACTATTCCTTGGTAAAGAATTTCTCATGCTATGCAATCTCATGCTAAATATTAATGGAATCTTTAAGCTGATTTGTTTTTCCATGACTGAACAGGATCATGGCTTGTTCATCACAGGCCTGAACCCCAATGTAAGTGAAAGCCATCTGGCTACATATTTTACAGAATGGGGTTGCATCACAATGTGCAAGGTAAATTCAAACCCACATTTTATAATTACTGTTATTTTATACCTTTATTTAATTTTGTCTTGAATTATCTGCAAAAGTGATTGTATAACCATATTAACATCGCCATTTGTGTTTTGATTTGATCCAAGATCAGGAACAGTCCCATTTCTTCAAAGGACAAATTGGCCTATGTGAGGTTTTCCAAAGAAGATGAAGCAAACCAAGCAGACTGGGCTGGTCCTCACTTTATATTTGGAGAAGAATGTAAAGTAATACGGGTTGTTAGTCCAAAGGTGAGTAAAATTTGTTTTCCATATGAGAGCAAAGTGTGTATTTTTCATCCATTGCCATGTCAGCTAATAAAATTCTGTCTTGTAGGTTGAAGGCGAGCCAGACAGTGTGCCCATCCTAGGGCAAAATAAAACTTCAATTCGCAGTCTAAAGGGTCTGGGCTACAGGCTGGAAGATCCTAAGTGGTTAGGTGAAGATGATAAGAATAAAGAAACCAATTAGTGTTGAGATAAATCAGGAATCGGGAAGACTTGAAAAGCAGGCTTCAAGAATGAGGAATGCTCTCAAAATAACATCTAAACTCTTCTTAATTTGCCATGTGTTATGGAGACATGACACATTTTCTTCATAAAACTTTCTCACATTTTGCTTTGATATGCCTGTGTATTTTTGAGAAATATTTTGTCCAAATATATCATTGTCAATGACAGATGAATAAAATATAAAATGTGAATATTTTGCAAATTATACAAGCCAGATTTCTCCTAGTAAATACAAAAATCAGATCATTTGTGAAAAATAACTGCATTTTTGAGTCACTTTTTTGTTTCTAACATATACAATTCTTATATTAATTAAATAAATTAAACTGAAAATATTGTTGTGTTTTTATTTTTTGCAATCAAAGCGATTGTCAGTGAACTAAAAACTAATAACTGAATTTTTGTGAACAATTACTCAAGGTAAATAATTTATTTTTGATATGTCATGCAACAATAGCAATTTATAGAGCAAAAGCTGTTTGAATATAAGAAAAAAATATTAGCAACAAACGCTTAATCTCATAAACAGGAAACTAAACTACTATCCTTGGACGCAATGAGTTACGTCACAGATTAACAGCCAATCCGGTGCACAGCGTCAACACTGGCTGCGTGAAAACATGGCGGAGAAAGAGGAAGAAGTCTGCTTCAAAAAGGTAGGAGCGGGAACTTCGCTCAAATTTCAAGTTTTTACCGATTTGTTTCAGCTTTAAGTACACTCAAAATAACTTATGCTGTACCCTTCTTGTATGCTTACGTTACGACAAGCTCTTCCACCTTTAGCAGACCTAACTACGAAAGCACTTATTGTTGTTTAACTTTAGACCAAACAAATGACAAATTGTCCAGACATTCGCCGAATTGAAATTCGTTTCTTAAGCATTTAATAAAGTCCTAATTATTCTGTGCTTGGCTTGACAACATCTGGAAATCCCCATGGTGCTTAACAGAATGTAATTTTTAAAAGGTAAGTCTGTTTAGTACAGAGAAGCAAGTAAAACAATTAAGCTTTCAAATGAAATGATGCTTTAGTGTTATTTAGCCTAAGATGTATATCTACTCAAATACGCAAATGTCATGAATTACAAGTCGTATCACTAAATGAAAATTAACAGGAAACAAAAACCAAACAATTGGCATCTCATTCATGTATGTAGTGCACAGTTAAACTTATTGAATTACTTGTTGAAGTTTTCACTAATATTCTAATTGAGTGAGATTTATTTGTGCTCTCCTTCTCTATGATATGTTCTTTTTACATCTCATAGGAAACCGTGAGCAAACTCCTGTGCAGTTCCTTTAAAGAGGACAAAACCAGATGTAAGTTTCAGAACAATGTTCTATTTTTTTGTATTATTATTATTTGTAATTTGGTGACAAAACTGAATAAATCTTTGTGTTATAGTAGGCAGTGATGCTACGCTACTCATGAGAGAAATGCTGAAAGTGTTTGTGCAAGGTGATAATTTCAGTGTCTAGATTACATGAGTTACTGTACTCAAGTTGCACAGCAATAAAATTCTTTGTTTGGTCTTTGCCAGAGGCCGCTTTGAGATCGCTGAAACAAGCTGAAGCTGAGGATTGCAACCGAATTGAGATTGAGCATTTTGAAAAGATCCTGCCTCAGCTGGTAAGTTGCTCAACAGATTCAGGACTTTTTGTGATTTGGCATGCATACAAAATATACATGCCAAATAAGTTGCAATGGCTATGCACATAGCAATTGCACAAAATCTTATTCAACTTTTCAGCTTTTAAATAAGAACTGGTTTAGTCATAAACAAGTCTATATTTTCCTATCTGATCCATTTTATAGGATGGATCAGATTGTGATTTTGGTTAAGATTTAAAGGGGCAGTGTTGTGTGTTTTACAGGCACAAAGTGACATTTTATTGTATAAACAATTGAATATGTTAACTTCTGTTATGAAAATTAAATATACAATTTTACTTTGTAATTTAACACCTTGAAATTGGGCCTCTTTTTCTTTAAAAAAATACTTCTCTTTATGAAACTCCACATTCAGAAAGTCATCACAACATCACTCCTCTATTAACCCCTTAATAGGTTTTTTTTTTCCAGCGTTGCACTGATACTGGAAACTGCAACTCCGGGGAGGAGCAATGCCCCAGAGCGGCACTAGGCCCACCCAGGTGTTTTGCACAGCTTAATGGTTGCCATGGGAGATTAAAAGATTTCTCAAACATCCATGAAAAAATCAAGCCAACACTCCAGCTATGTTTTTGATGAAAGAATAACATCATAACATCATGTGGAGCTCCAAAAAGTAAATTTTACATAATACTGCCCCTTTAACTAAAATGAAATGGTGTCATGTAAATGTAGCTGGAATCAAGTTAAAACAAATTCATCCAATTTCTCTTTAATCTAAAAACCTAAGTTAAATAGTAAATGTGTATTTTTTGAATAAAAGTTTTGTTTTTAACTTGCAGTTTTTCATCTCGTTTCCTTTTGCAGCTTCTGGATTTTTAGTTGAACCACAAGATGGAGCCAGAGGGCAGCTAACAAGTTGCTACAAGCTTTTGTTTTTGAGATTTTTTTTTTTTCTTCTTCAGTAAAATTACCTTCCAAATTAAATCTGAGGTCACATTGATATTCCTGCCATGTGTTTATATATGTACATTTTTTCAGATTTAAAGTTAAAAACCCCACAGTGTTGTCCAAACGTAACCCCACTTCCACCAATAAGGGCCACCTGTGCTCATCTATGGAACAACAGGTGCTTCCAGCATGCTCCATGGCGCCCTTCATCAAAGCCTCCAGGAGCAGTTGGAAGCAATTAGAGTAATAAGGGGAGCAGCCAGTCCCTTAGATGATGACAAGTGCCAGGAAAAAAGGAGTACCCCCTCTGGCCACTTTGAAGTTCCCTTTTGCTGTCCTGCGATGTTTGGTTAGAGGTAGGGGGAAGGGCAAAGGGGACCTCTGGCACAGGGAGGAAAGTTGAATGGGAGTGTGTGTGCGTGTGTGTGTGCGCGCATGTGTTAGCCAAACACGGCCGAAGACCACACGCATAGAGATTCTGTTTGAAAGGAAACATAACAAAACACATCGGAACATGGTCCAAGAGGAGCAGGGTGTAATTCTGAAGGTAAATAAACAAAACAGGCGAGTAGTAGAGGTGCTCTCCGCTTTCATCACAGCAGAGAGAAGGTGGGTGGGAGGGGAAGCTGGGCCTACCGGAGAGAGGCTAATGTGGGGTTTTTCAAACCCAAGTGGCTCTTATGTTTTTCCACCAGCGGTGTGTTTGACCAAAGTGTCTTTACTGTGAGTCAGCATAGCTGTACAACACCTCACTCTGTTTATTTGTGTGCCTCTTGGGTGACTCACTGCACTCGCATGCAGCTGGAAGCAACTTAAGTGAAAGTCAAGAATCCAGGCTTGGATAGGTGTTCAAGGACGCGGCACCTGGAGTTTGACCCAGAACCATTTATAATTTGGAAGGCTGGATTTGTGTTTCCCTGGTGTGATCTCCGGAGAAGACAATCAGGAAGAGTCGGGTTTGGGTTGAGTGATGTGACGTTTTAGAGTACTAGTCGAAGGTTTATCAGGGAAGACACCTCATTTTTGATTGGTAAAAATAACCATTTTAATTCTTTGGCGTAATAATACCTTTGCACTCCCCTCAAACTTTATCATTGCCACATTTGTCACATGCAAATGTCCTTTTTTCCCCTCCAGAAGAAGACTATTTTCCTTGACTTCTTTCTTCCATCTCTGAGAATTCTGTACTTGCACTACCATATGACTCCTCTGCATATGCATCCTAATGGAACAAATTACATCTGAAGGCAGTATTATTAAACATGCGAAAACAGTTAAGACAAAGAATGGGGAGAGGCGTTAAAAGTAATGAGTTAAAGCTTTTCTTCATCCTGCATTAAAGGCAGGGAGTGTCGACAGACAGTCCAGACGCCTTGGAGAAGCTCCGGAGTGAGAAGCTTTTCCTGGGAGAAAGAGGCTGATCTGTGTCCAGCTTTCTTTTTTTTCCCCCCCTTCTTTTTCTTTTTTCCTGGGACAGCCTCAAATATGACATACAAATGCTCAGTTGATTTTAGCCAATATTAGTATAGATTTTAAACTAATTTGCCTGCCAAAATTATTTCTATCATGTTGGTTTTGCATTTTGGGCAGTTTAGCAACATCACGGTTTATACTCCAAGTCCCGGGAATTACCAGCCTCTTACATGAATAAAAAAGAATTGCGTACAACGCTGGTATCAGGAATCATGATTTATAAAAATGTTTTCCTGAGGTGGAGCTGACTTGATTTTTGTGCAGAGTCCCGGTGAGGAGACGTCAGGATTATATCGGATTTCTCTCCTTAATTCTCCTCTGACTAGTCTGCGGTTGCTCTTTCTGACGCAGTTTTCAAACTTTCCGTCGCCTCAAAACTTCTCAGGTCCAAACGAAAGCTCAATATGTGACAAGTCAACATAGCACACCCACTTCTGTGACTGCTGGAGTTTTGCTTTAGCAAAAGCCTGTGAGTTAATATAGGTTACAATATCAAACGTTATAAATTAATGAACAATATCTTTGCATAAGAAACATTTTAATATAGTTTGAACAGTTTTATTCATTTCATAAAGAAAAGATAGCTACACTTTTGGACAGAGACCTGCATCTGTCATCAATCTGTCATAATTGATGACAGATGCAATCTATCATCAACCATGATGATGGATTGCATCGCACCCTGTCATAAATTTGATAGGGTGCAAATTTAAGTTAGTAATTTTTATAAAGCAGTCAATTATTAGAAGACCCCCACAACCACAGTAAAGTAGCATTTACCATTTGAGGCATCGGCAGAATGAAATTGGCTTCCTTTAAGGAGCTGTCAGCCTATTGTGCATAAACAAGTTATTCTACAAGACATTTATGAGGAGTCTTCTGTCCCTTCAGAGAGTATCACAATCTGGCTCCAAGGACTGGAAAAAGAAGGAAAGTGCCCTGTTAGAAATTTGTACAACACACCATGTATCTGAGTGTAGTCCAGGTAATAATACCTCATAGGTCCTGAAGTGGTACCCATCAAACACCAGTGATGACATCAATAGTAAGAAGACATTGGAAAGGGTATGCCAAC